GATAATCAGCCGCAAGAAGCTGCTCCGGCTGGCGGCTCTGGCACGGCAGTCTGTGAGGATCTCTGTGTGTGTGGACAGTGCAGGAAACGTGCGGGATCTGGGTCAGGTAGCTGGGGAGTTTGGCGTGACCCTTGACCTGGTGGTGGATGTCAACGTAGGTCATGACAGGTGACGCGATTTTGTTGATGTTTTTGTTTAGTTTAGTATTCTTTTGTTTAGTTTAATATTGTCTTGTATTGTTTTATTTTGCATTGTATTGTTTAGTTGAGTTTAGTATTGTTTATTTTAGTTTTCTTTTATTTAGTTTAGAATTGTTTTGTTTTGGTTTCTTTTATACTGTATTGTATTGTTTAGCTTAGTTTTGTATTGTTTATTTAATTTTCTTTTGTTTAGTTTAGTATTGTTTTGTTTTTAGTTTTCTGTTGTTTTGTTTTGTTTTGTATTTGTTGGGAGACGCGGTAGTAAGTAGAAAATCTTTGGGCATATCATTTTACACAGGCGTCAGTGGGTCAGTATTCGATTCCCAGGCGGAGAACATCTACTATATAATGTATTGAGTATCCCCATCTTTCTGCAGGGATGCTGTATTCAGCCCGGGTTGGCCCTTACAGGTAACAGCAGGGCAGCCCGCCTCCTTTATGATCTGAATGTGCCAATAGAGGCGTAAAACATTTGTAATACATATATTATTATTTATTTTTGCTACAACCTACAAGGTGCGGCGTGGAGCCCGGGGAGGCAGTGGCAGACCTAGCAGAGCTCATCCAATCTTTGCCGCACGTGAATTTTAAAGGAATCCAATGTTACCACGGGTACGTATGAGAATTTTAGTTTAGTTTTTGTAAGAGTTTTACGGCACTTGCAACACAAAAAGATTAGAAATTTTACAAGAGAATAACAAACACAAAAAAGGAGGAGGAGAAATTAGGACGATAGATTTTTGGTAGGAAAGATGGAGCAAACCACACAACTTGCTAGCAAGTGTGCACGGAATCGTTTTCAGACCAGTATTTATGCATAACCTATCAGACATGGTATTGGAGACCAACTGGATGATTTAGTAAAAGTTTTACGGTAGTTGCAACACAATACGGTCATATAAGTGCCAAAGATTCGACGTGTTACAAGAGAGTAACAAATACCGAAAAGAAGGACAGATCAGGACGATAGATGTTCGATAGGAAAGAAGGAGCAAACTGCACCAGAGTACCCGCCAACCACCCACAGACCAACTGGAAAAAGAAAACGAGGAGGACCAACTGCTGGGGGTAAGTAAGTAAGTAAGTAACTATTTATGCACAAC